TGAAAAGGGTAGTTAGAGCATGTGTGGCCTAAATAAGCTAAACCCCCCTCCCTTACCTTATTTAGGCCATATGTGGCCTAAATAAGCACTCCCTTATAATATATTTCCATTGATGGCTATGTTTAAAAGCAGGTTCCCCTTCCATTACTACTATAATTCAATTAATTTGTCATCGCACCATTAATAGAAGGCAAACCTTCACAATACAGTTACCTGGTGCATACCCTAATTTTCCTTAAATTTCAAGTCTGAATGTTGCATGTCACAACCTCGGAACACCTCTTCGAATTTTTCTTGATTTTAGTAAGTTTTAGGCTGGTTTGAGCATATACTGTATTATTTCTTTCATCGCGGCCCTTATCGCGTTCCCTTGCCGTAGAATCTTTATATTGATCATTTCTCTATATCTAGATCTAGGCAAATTTGTTAAAAAAAAGTTTCTTTCTGACAGTAATTTTCTGTCTAAGATCACAAGTCAATTTACTTGATCAACGCGCAGATTTTCCAGCCGCGGCAACAATCCGAAGATAGACAGACGGAATGAGGGAATGATGAATGATAGAAAGGAGGAAATTGGTACCAAAAATTTGCCTGATTTTGATCAATCCACAGGTAAATATGTACTGTCGACCAACCTGCAATGAATGCATGGGGCATAGCGGTATAATGGCCGATTGCAGGAAATGAGCAATATGGCAGGTTTCTATAACATTAACTTATTGCCGAGAGAATTACTGTAAATATCCATAACTCATACTAGTACTAGACGATATGAAGGCGAGTACGGATCTTTTGCTACGGAATTTCGGTAGTCCTACGCTGTCGCAGCTTTTTACGGAGGGAGTTAACAGTGATGGAGGAACAAATACGTAACTGGCAGAAAGTAAAAATACCGAAGAGTGGTAGCACTGACATAATAAAAATAATGAACCAAAAGTCGAACAGAAATGAACTTATACTTCAACACCACGGGTCTTCAACTCAAAATACTCCAGGGCTGCAGGAAGTAGTCAGGGTAAGCCGTCAATTAAAAGTACAGTAAATGCAGTTTGTACAATTTTACAGGAGAGCCCCAAAAAACGAATGTTGTTACCAAGAAAACATTTATTTGCTTTAAGGACAACAAGTAAGTCATCATCAAAATTGTATTCTTAGGAATATTGACCTGTATTCCAAATATAAAAAAAGTTTTAAATATTTAACATAAAAGTACAACTTTGAAACTATGTTCTCAAAACTTGTCAAAAACACCACTGAAAGCTGTTATCAGCCTGAGCTGATCGTAACTCCCATCAGCCAGAATTGAATCTGCACTGTCATTTAGAATTTCAATTTGTATTATTGAAAAATATGAATCAAGATCTACTTTGTTCAGCATGTAAAAAAACCAACAAGCATGGGTAACATTGGGGTAGCAGATAAGGAGAATGAATGCAGAAAAAGCAGGTATAATGTTGTGGGATTTTTATTTTAAAATCTCAATCTGGAAAGCGAATACTATTTGAAATTTTAAAACATTGTTGTGGACACAATGCGCTGAGACTCGAAAAATACGCCTTCAAGCATGAAAATCTTATAAAGAATAGAAACATCATCAACTTGACCAATCTTATAAACATGGACTTGGAGAACTGGATAGAAATGTGGTGAAAATGACACGCTGTGTCATTCTATTCGAGGGAGCCAAAAGGAAATCGCTACCCTGGAATTACAAAGTTCTATCTACTCAGTTTCTAGTTTTGAGAAATCTGATGACCTATGTATAAATATGTCGGGTTTCACAACATGTTAAGCTTTTCGGAATGCAATCTTTGAATATCTCCATAATGACTCTAAATAATCTTACGATTTTGATAGAGCAGAGAACATTTGGTTTCTGACACTATGGTCTCAGTAACTCAAAATCGCCAGAAATGTCAGATAGAACTTTGTAATTCTGAGGTAGCAAAAATGACACGGAGCATGTCACTCTTGTCAATAGGAGTTAGGAAACTATAAATTATTCAGGGCCACATTTCAGTTGAGGAGTATCCTAAGAATTAAGCGGCAGGACAAAATAAGAAATGAAGAACGGTGGGAAAGGACGACAGGACAAAATGACATAGAAGTAGAAATAGGACTAAGAAAGTGGCGTTGGATGGGACACACCTTCAGAAAGTCCAGCAGAAACATCACAAGACAGTCACTGCAATGGAACCCACAGGGAGCACGAGGCAGGGGTAGGCCACGGGAAACATGGAGGAGATGAGTGGAAAGGGACTTGAGAGAGATGAAGCTCACTTGGAACGAGCTAGGAAGGATGGTCCAGGACAGAGATAAATGGAAGGAGCTTGTATGCGGCATATACCCCGCTAGGGGTGAAAGGCACCGATGATGATGACATCTCAGCACAAAGCTGCAGGCTATTCTACCACAACACTTTGATATCTTGTCAAGGGCTGCAAAATATCGTCCTGAAGGCTTCAATAGGCCTGGAGACCACAAGTTTGAGACCCCTGGTCTACGAGCTTTAAAACTTGGTTTTCTTACAAACCTTGTCAGTTTTCCATGTGGACTCATTTATTATACACAAAAGGCAAACTGATGTCTCATATTAGCTCTTTAAAAATGAATAGACTTCATTCTTATTGTGGATAGGAATGGCGGTTGCCCTTAACATATGACAGGCTATGCCACCAACGTATACCAGTAACACTCAGAAAGTGTTAGAGAAAACGACTATAAAAGCACAAATTAAAACAACCATATAAAAAAGGCAAAAGCTTGCACGCATTCATGTGTTATTAAAAGCCATGTAGTGTCTATCAGGCCTAAAAAAACTTGTTCAAAATCAACAAGACAATAGTTTGTAAATCACATGAAAAGTACATTCTAAAAAAACAACCTAACCAAGCATCTATGACTGCCTTGGACTTCCACAGAAAAATAACAAATAACACATTTGACTAGTCTTAGCTAAAGTCCCAAAAGTAGCAATAGATCCAGCCTTCAAACTTCATTAAAAAGAAACATATTATAAAGGACATGAGCTGGTAAATAAGCTCAAATTCAAAACTTGTTTTAGGGTGTGTTTTAGTGCTTGAAGCTTTTCTTTGAAGGCTAATTAGATGATAAGCAAAAATACACAAATATGAAAAAAAAAAGAGACAAAAATGGTGGCCATTTTGAATTGTAAAATATTGTTAGTTTATATATGCCACAGAAAATACAAAAATTTGTGTTCATTTTCATATATATGAAAAAAAAAAAAAAGACAAAAAATTGTGGCCATTTTGGATTTTAAAATATTGTTAGTTTTGTTCCTTGTCTAAGGCTTTTTCGTTTTTTAAGCAAACGAGTTGAAACCTAGCAGGCAGATACATGATTAAAAAATGAACAGAAGATTGGTTTTAATCAAACAATTATTTAGTTTTCTACACTATAAAATCGTGATGGGTTTTGCGAAATACAATTGGCATTCTATTGTTTCACATAAACTTTCAGAAATCAAAAATGAAAACTCTGACATACAGATTGTTCTATTAAAAGTTTAAACAACAAACAAGGACTAATCATGTTCATTTGCTTAAAAAAAGCAAAAACATTTGATGTCAAAAAACACAATTTTGAGAAAATGGCCGATGAAGATCAAAGCTTTAATAGAATGCCAATTACACATGTAAAGAAAACTCCATTATTGCTATATTGAATGATTTTCAAACTTTTTTCCACTGTCAAATAACTAGAACAATGGTTTAGGGATGCAAATACGGGAAAATCAAAAATTGCCTCAAAAATTATTTTTATCGATTTCATTTACCCGCAGACTCCCTTAAAAAAACCCAATCAATTTGTGTCAAGACACAAAAGTTGCACCAATTTCTGATCACACATCTTCCCGTTTAATAAAACGAGGACTAAAGAACATGATATGTTTTTATATGCAGTCGAACCTGCCCTGACGGCCACTTTCCATTTCCCCCCCTTGCGTTTTTTCAATATAATTTAACTGTGTAAAATAGGCACCTGTCCAATGCGGCCGCGGCCACCATATTTTAACATACAACTCCTATCACACTAAGCCATAACACCTGTCTTAGATGGCCACCTTAGTGACTCCATTATGTTTTGTCATAAATTGCGCATTGGCCCCTGGCGTTGTGGGTGAGCCGTCATTATCTAATCACCTGTTGTTGTTGTTAGGTAGTCCCTCCAACCGATCATGTTGCGAAGGCCCCTCCCACTTTTGACCAATAGGTACCAATTTCCAGCTGCTGGTGAGGGAAGCGTGTGATCCCTCATAACCCATAAGCCCCGCCCAGAACTCATACACAAATCGTAAATGAGATAAGTGGTCACTGTTAACCCAGTCTGTAACAAAGTAACAATGGACGTCAACATGGACTTGTGAAAGAAGCGTTGCTCGTTCTTTGAGTGGTGGCGACCCATATGTTTGTTTTACCATAGCACTCGGTCCTCCTTGTCTGACACATTTCGTTCTATTGCCACCCTTGCACAAAATCAGCAAAAAAAAAAAAAAATAACAAACAAAATACAAACCAACAACAACAACAACAAAAACAACAATGATGCGGCTACTTTTGATTGGGAATGGGGTTTGTTTTCTTCATCTTGATCAGTCCTGCCTAGGACGGCCACCTGTCTTATACGGCCACTTTTCTCCTTGACAATGGGTGGCCATCTTACACAGGTTTGACTGTATATATTGAATCATCAATTAAAAAAAAAATTAAATAGTTTTGTCCTGAGAATTGGTAGAGATTTGAGATAAGAGGAGCACATAGAGACCATAATAATAATGAAAACAGCCAATTGGTACATGAGAAACTTCTTCACAGTCTGCTTGATGGCCAATATTTTGACATCACAGTCTGAATGAGCCCGGAAGACAAAAAAAAATATCCCCAAATAATGTTTTTTATTTGAAATAAAAATGTATGTTTTTCACCCAGAAATCAAGGTAACTTGATAGAAAAATGCAAAACAGTAAAAAAATTATTTAAAAAATTACAATCAACACAATTTGATCGAACAAAAGAGAAAAAAACTAACATCCAAACCCAAAGAACCAGAGAAACCATTATAATATTAAGAATTATAAACTTATAGATTATTTAATATACAGTCACCACACACATGTACAAAATATAATATAATATATAGGGATGACACTTGACTTTGAAACACACAGGAAATGTCTCTGTTGTTGGTGCCACACTGTGAGGGAAAGGTGCATTTTGGAGTATCAGAGGTCAAAGGTGAATAGAGATGATGACAAAGGTGAATAGAGATGATGTCAAAGGTTAAAGTCACAAATGGATTTGAGGTCAGGGTCGTCTCAGGGAGGGGAAGAAGGAAGAGTGAGTGCTGAGGTCAGGGGTCAGTTCAGATATAATGTGTGTGTACTGAGGTCAGGGGTCAGCTCAGATATAATGTGTGTGTACTGAGGTCTGAGGTCAGCTCAGATATAATGTGTGAATACTAAGGTCAGGGGTCACCACAAATATAATGTGTGCATTCTAAGATAAGGGGTCAGCTCAGATATAATGTGTGTGTACGGAGGTCAGGGGTCAGCTCAGATATAATGTGTGTACGGAGGTCAGGGGTCACCACAAATATAATGTGTGCGTTCTAAGATAAGGGGTCAGCTCAGATATAATATGTGTGTACCGAGGTCAGGGGTCAGCTCAGATATAATGTGTGTGTACCGAGGTCAGGGGTCACCTCAGCGACGGGAAATCTTCGGGCAGCAACGTGTGCCCTCGGCAGTTGGGGCACGACCTCTGCACCTCCAGCCATGACATGATACACTGTGGTGGGGGAAGGGAAAAAACCAAAAACAGTTGAACATTAGCTATGAGGGTTTTTTTAGCTTTAGTAAGAGTTTTGCGGCACTTGAAACACAATAAGGTCGTGTGGGTGCCGAAGATTAGAGGTGTTTCAAGAGAGTAACAAACATAAAAAAGGAGGGGAGATAGAGACGATTGATTTTTTTGTAGGAAAGAATGGGTAAACCACACCAAAGCACCCGCCAACCACCCACAGTAAGAGTTTTACGGCACTTGCATAAGGTCGTATAAGAGCCGAAGATTAGAGGTGTTACAAGAGAGTAACAAACATAAAAAAGGAGGGGAGATAGAGAAGAAAGATGTTTGATAGGAAAGAAGAAGCAAACCCCACCAGAGCACCCGCCAACCACCCACAGTAAGAGTTTTACGGCACTTGCAACAAAATAAGATCTTATAAGTGCGGAAGATTAGAGGCGTAAAACCTCTACTAAAACTAAACTAGAAAACATTTTCAGTTGAATTTTGCCAGGGTGGCGGCCGAAGCCTACTATTATCAATTTTGGACCACCAAGGGATCTTTAAACATATGCAACATATACATGAAACCTCCAATATTTTTCATCCTTATCCGAGAAGGCTACATGAAGATCTGACCTACTAGTACTAGAAGGTCTGGGGTGTGGCTCAAAGTAGAGAAAGACAGCAGTAAGAAGGAGCCAAGGAGTAGCAGTAGAAAGGCTGCAGAAAAATTCAGGAGCCCAGAGGAGGGAGCAAAGGAGGTGCAGAAAGCAAACTTTTTCAAAAGAGAAAAACTGTCTCATTATTTTAACCATTGTGCTGTCATGTATCTCTTCTGCAACATTTAGAATTTGAATTTCGACCTAATATTTGTCAAGTACTTGCAACCAATACCACAGATTAAAAAACTGCAAAAAAAATTCACTTTTGAGGTTTGTGCATCAGAACAGCTGTTTGTTTTCGTTTTAATAGAGGTTTTATGGCGCTCGCAACTGCATAAGGTCATATGAGCGCCAGAAGTTTAGAGGTGTTACAAGAGAGTAACAAACATAAAAAAGAAGGAGGGGAGATAAGGACGACAGATGTTTGACAGGAAAGAAGAAGCAAATCACACCAGAGCACCCGCCAACCACCCACTCTGAACAACTGGCCGACCTGCCAGTTTGACAATCAAACCTCGTCCCTCACAAGCCACCCTCATCGTCACTCCGTCTCTCACCTGGTTATGGAAGGAGTGGCCACAGCTGAGGACCCTGCGGTCGTGTACAATCTCCTCATGACAGATGGTACACAAGTTATCTGACGACGATGTCATCGGTCCGACGGTCACCATCGAGTCCTCTATCCCCAGGCTCTCAGGCTGTCCCTGAAAATGGTGCGTTTGTTGTTTGTTTGTTAGTTTGTGTACCTGTCGATTTATTCATGACTCTCGAGTCAGAAAGGTTGGAGTTTGAGTAAAGAGAAGCACACTGCGAAGGGAAGGGTCATTTACCGAAAGGGAAAAGTAGTTTTTCTGAGGTGAGATTTAGTAAGTTTTACGGCACTTGCAACATAATTAAGTCATAAAATTGCTGAGGTTGAGAAGTGCAACAAGAAACATACAGTCCAGAACAAAGCAAAGAGAAGAGATAAGGATGAAGCGTATTTGACGGGAAAGAGAACCCATCAAACATCCATTGGAAAAAGTAAAAACAGACAGAACCAACAGAGGGAAAGTAAAGAAAGGTCACAGAGACAGAAGTACATTAACACAATAAAAGTAATTTCCTAGTCATTTAGTGCAGATTCTGAGTTTACTCAAGTCAAGAGAAGCATAACACCGACACAATAACAGTCATTCAAGGCAGGGAAAGAGCATGGCAAGCATAAAACAACAATGGGAAAGAGCAGAAGTCAGAGACTTACCACTAGTAGCGTCCTACAACAACTCACGCACACCAATATTAGTTTAAAAAAAGGAAAGTTGTTCCCGTATCCGATCTGGACATTGGGGATAGCCTTGTTAGAGAGACAACTTCCTGGGCCTTTGGCATTGTGGTAGGGAGGCCAGTTCCTTTCCACGCCGCCTTTACTTCCCCAACTCGAAATCAGGTACCCATTACTGCTGGGTGGGTAGGAGGGGGCGAAAAAAATCGGTGTCCAAACCGAGGCTCGAACTTGGACTTTCTGCTTTGGAGACGAGCGCACTAACCGCTCCGCCACAGCACCCTCAATATTAGTATGAATGTTTGGTTTAAAAAAAAATTATTTTTAAAAAATGCAGCCCCAGGAACGCTTTCCACATAGCATTCTCAGAAGAAAAACGCGGACTATGAGAAAAGTTGTTCTAGAGACACAGCCTGTTCACCCTTCAACCACCCGCTCACAAGGCAGTTTAGTTCAACTCAATCTTAGTACTACCAAGAGAAATAGGCAATAATAGTAAACCAATAACACAGTTACAAAAGTTCACTCCCACAACAAATATTCAGATAACCGAATTCATAGTTAGGAACAGGGAATTATGAAAAAAGACACTTTACGGGCATATCCTGTTCACCCTCTAACCACCTACTATGAAAGCAATTCAGTTCAAACCTATCTGCCACAAGGAATAAGAAATAACAGTAAACCTATAAAGTTAATGAAGACCTCAAGGGATAAACAAGAAACATTTGGGGGACTATCACCTTTCTTTCATGTTTTTTTTCATACAGAATACAGCTGCTATTTCCAATACCCATTTTTAAATACAATGAGAATATGTGTGACTGCAGCTGTTTCTGATAAAAATGATATCAACGGACAAAACGAAACACGCTAAACAATACATCACAACTGACAAAAAAAAGCGCCATTTTTATGGTGTATTTTTCAAATGCTGCATTTGATTTGCGGGAGGGAGGAAGTTTTTATTTTATTTTATTTTTTTTCATTTTTTTTTCAATCAAGTATCTTTGTCCATTTGCTGGGACTTTGTGTCCCACTCAGCCCAGACTGGCCCTGATAGGCATTGTTGATGCAGCCCACATCTAGAATAACTCCATGCCAAATACAGTTGAAATTAATCAAGACAGCTGCCAACAGTCAGGACAAAAGTGGTTATCTCGGACAGGTGCACGTCTTAGGGGCATTTTAACATATTTTTTTTTTAAAGAAAAGAAAAATACAAGGGGGAGGGAGTGGGAAGAGATCGTTTGTACAGGCAATGGTCTTGGACAGACTGCCATTAGAACACATCTGACTGTATTCCCTAGTGGACTTCCCCGAAGAAAAACGTGTATTATGAGAAGACGTTTGAACAGCATACCCCGTTGACCTTGGCAGCTGCCACAGTGTTGTTGGCTTCCTTCTCTAGGATCATCTCGGACACTTTATTGACCAGGTCGGAGAACTCAATCTGGGACAAACTGCCGCCCGAGGAGCGTCTCAGCTCATCCACCACCTTGCCAATGTCTTGTCTGAAAGAATAAAGGAGGGAGATGTTTGTTTTAAGGCGCTCGCAACTGCATAAGGTCATATGAGCGCACTAAAGGGGGAGATGGGAGGGGTGGTTTGTTTGTTTTAGTAAAGAAAAGCACATCTTCACAATAACAGTCATTAATCAAGGTCTATTAATTTGGGTCCAGACGAGCACATTGTCACAATAATGGTTAACCAATTTCGTATGGTTGTAACAGTAACGAGAAAGACACTATGATAGTATGCGACCTCAGTGCTTTCTTTTTTAGTTTTAGTGGAGGTTTTACGGCGCTCGCAACTGCATAAGGTCATATGAGCGCCAGAAGATTAGAGGTGTTACAAGAGAGTAACAAAATATAAAAAAGAAGAAGGGGAAATAAGGACGACAGATGTCTGATAGGAAAGAAGAAACAAACCACACCAGAGCACCCGCCAACCACCCACAGCGCTTTCTTGTCCTATCTCCAATTTTAATAACAGTGAAAACAGTACCGGAGTACTGTGGCTGAGGCGAATTTTCAACAGAGCCTGGGAGCAAATTAAACGCCCAGATGACTGGCAGTTCAGAAAGCTATAGTGGTCCCATTATGAAAAAAAAGGAAACAAATGGGACTGCACAACATACAGAGGCATCTCTTTATTAAGCTACACAGGGAAAATATACACAAAGATACTAGAACAACGGACAAGACCTATTGTAGAGAGAAATCTGAGTAAAGCTCAGTTTGAATTCCGAAAGGGAAGAAGATGCACGGATGCTGTATTCGCATTAAGACAGAAATGGTAGAAAATAATTGAACACAATAAAGAATCCAATATCGTCTTTATAGACCAAGAGAAGGCTTTTGACAGAGTAAACCATGCAAAACTCTGGAAGACACTCGAAAAGTATGGCGTCACAGGACAGTTGTTAGATAATGTCAGAGCTCTATATACCAACAGCAGAAGCTCAGTAAGAACGAAGGAAGGAAATACAGACTGGTTCAAAGTAAGATCTGGAGTACGACAGGGATGCATTCTACCTCCCCTCCTATTTATAATATATATATGGACACAACAACGCAAGACAAACCAAAGCCCAAATGAACTTCTATTCGCAGACGACCAAAGTCTTATTCATATTCACCCCCCCAAAAAAAGCCTCCAAAATCACACTACTGAACCGAACAGCAGCTGCGAGAAATTTAACATGAAAATGAGCACATCAAGGTTTGTTATACCTCCTGCTGATGTGCCTCCCTCCCTAGTCTTTCTCCTCTACTTTTTCTTCTTCTTTCTCCTCTACTTTTTTCTTTTTCCTCTATATTTTTCTTCTTCTTCTTCTTTCTCCTCTACTTTTTATATCCTACTTTTTCTTCTTCTTCTTTTTCCTCTACCTTTTCTTCTTCTCCTTTCTCCTCAACTTTTTCTTCTTCTCCTTTCCTTTCTCTTCCTGCTTAAGCCCCCACCCCCTGACCCGCCACTCACTTGGTGTAATGCACAAATCTCTGCTGCACACACAGCACCAGCCGCTCAAAGGTCGGCTGCTGCCTCTGCATTCCGCGGGCCACACCCACCGTGGGCCGTGTGGGAGCCCCAAGCAACCCCCCGCGCCGTGGGAGCTTGAGGGGAGCATGGGCGGTGGAGAGGGGGAGGAGAGGATTGGACAGACCTCCTCCCCTCACCGTGGGGCGGTCACCCACTGAGGTCCGCAGGCCGTGGGCTGGGACTGACGCTCTGTCAGCTGTGAGAGAGAGAGAAATTTTCAGTTTTAGTCAGTTTTAGAGTAACAAATACCAAAAAAAAGAAGGAGCGGAGATCAGGACGATAGATGTTTGACAGGAAAGAAGAAGCAAACCACATCAGAGCACCTGCCAACCACCCACAGTTTTACAACACTTGCAAAAAAATACAGGTCACATGAGTGCAGAAGATGAGAGGTGTTACTTGAGAGTCACATATAAGATACAAAGCGATGAAGGAGAAGATAAGTATTTTTTTTTAGTAAGAGTTTTACGGCACTTGCAACACAAAAAAGTTATATAAGGAGATTAGAGGTGTTGCAAGAGAGTAACAAACATATAAAAAAGATGGGGATATAAGGACAATAGATTATAATAGGAAAGAAGAAGCAAACCACACCAGAGCACCCGCCAACCACCCACAGACAGTGAATGGCAATCAGAAAGAGATATCAATTAAAACAAGAGCTTAGCCAGAGTACTTTTGTCAGAGTAAAAACGAAGCACATTGACAAAATATGTTCTTTAAGTGAGGAGGAACAGCCAATTTGAGTTTGATTTCAAAAGAAGCCCACAGACACAGCAAAAGTTACTTAGTTAAGAAAAAATCGGGCATTTTGTATGGGTAAAAAGAAGCATATTGAGTCAGTGAATATCATTTAGTGTGAGGAAAGAGCAAGTTTGAGTTTAAAACAAACACATTGGGGGAAAAATGTAATTGTAGAACTCTTACGCCCCCATTGACACTATTTAAGTCCATAGAAGGCGGGCTGCTTTCACCCTGCATGTCAGGGGCAACTCGGGCTGAGAAGGATACAATATCTCAGTTTTTTAAGCAGAGGTTTTACAGCGCTCGCAACTGCATAAGGTCATATGAGCGCCAGAAGATTAGAGACATTACAAGAGAGTAACAAACATAAAAAAGAAGAAGGGGAGATAAAAATGATAGATGTCTGATAGGAAAGAAGAAGTAAACCACATAAGAGCACCCGCCAACCACCCACTACAATATCTCAGCAGACAGACAAACTCGACTGGATTTTTCAAAAAACCTCCCCACACAGGAATCGAACTCATGTCCTCTGATAGCTACAGCAACACATCTTAAATGCTTCACCACAGACGTAGGTAGCAAGAAAGACAGACAGAAAAAAAATTAAGATGGAGAAAAGAAGTAAGACCTACCTGTAGCACCCTCAAACCACCCGCGGGGGTTTAGTGTGGTCTGAGTAAAGAGAAACACATCAAAACAATAATGGTCACTTACAGTTTGTTTTAATAGAGCAACTTCATAAGGTCATAAGAGCGCAAAGGGGAGGATGTCAACAGAGAAGTCCTTACAGGGAATCAGACTTACTCTGCTCACCTCTCTTGCTTCAACAGCACAAAGTCTGCTTCGACTATCAAGGCACCCCGGAAATAGCGGTCACAAGAGTATGACAAACATACAAAAGAAGTAGAGGAAAATGATGATAGTTTCCTGTTGTAGTTCAGGTACAGTTATGAGCATGACATTGTTGGATCAGCCCATTCTGTGCATTTGAACGAGAAATGACCCCCCTTTTGGAAATGGCCTAAAAACACTTCAGTCAGTGGCACCGCCCCGCTGCGTATGGTCACTTGTTTTTTTTTTTAGTAGAGGTTTTACGGCGCTCACAACTGCATAAGGTCATTGAGCGCCAGAAGATTTGAGGTGTTACAAGAGAGTAACAAACATAAAAAAGAAGGAGGGGGAGATGAGGACGATAGACGTTTGATAGGAAAGAAGGAACAAACCACACCAGAGCACCCGCAGGCAAAAAAGACAGAACAGAAATAATAAAAGGTATGTAAAGTAGAAGAACCCACCAGTGGTGCACTCCAACCACTCGCCATTTCAGTCTTTAGTTTAGTTTTAGTACAAATACTATGGCACTTGCAACACAAATAGACCATGTACGGCCAAAGATTAGAGGTGTTACGAGAGAGTAACATACAGAGAAAAGAAGAAGGAGAGTTAATGACGATAGATGCTTGATAAGAAAGGAGTAAACCCACACCAGAACATCTACCACCCACCCACTCCGCCCTTTCAAGTGATGAACCATAGCAATAATACGAATGACATCAACCTAAAATGAACTGAAAGTGGTGTGAACAATATTTCTCATAAAAATAAAAAGTAAGCCCTCACCACTGGCCTCGCTGCCCTGTGATGACGGCCTGGAGCCGCTCCCACTCGAAGCAACGCTGATGGGGGTCAAGGTCGCGCCACCCAGGAGACGTCGAATCTGACCCGCATGTTGGCTGGAAGCAATGTCAGAAGTAGGTGCGGAGGTCTTGATAGTCTGGGACTCATTATCATCATCTGTGACAAGTTTGTTTGAGGCAAGAGATGTTCATCCATACAACAATCGTCTTTTAGAGCAGGGGAAAAAGTAAAACAGTCAGACCGAATCAATGGAAGAAATATGAAGAAACAAGATCGACCAGTAGCATCATCTTCCAATTGTTAGAGAATAAAAACGGATATTAGATTTAAAAGTAAATACTAATCATGGATCACAATCACACAGTCCAGGTTGGGAGTGTTCAATGCAGAGTGCTTAGTTTTTAGTAAAGGTTTTACAGCGCTCGCAACTGCATAAGGTCATATGAGTGCCAGAATAATAGAGAAGTTAAAAGAGAGTAACATACACAAAAAAAGGAGGAGAGATCAGGACGATAAATATTAGGTAGGAAAGAAGGAGCAAACCACACCAGAGCACCCGCCAACCACCCACAATCCATACTAGATAAAATGACTTGGCATTGTGTAGTGATAAGGCAAAGAGCCTAACTGCTACACCACTGACGCGGGTGCACCCACATATCTTAGGTTCAGTAACGAGTTAGTTTTTAGTTTTAGCAAGAGTTTTACGGCATTTGCAACACAATAAGGTCATTTAAGTGCCGAAGAATAGATTATGTGTTACAAGAGTAACATACACAAAAAAGGAGGGGAGATAAGGACGACAGATGTTTGATAGGAAAGAAGGAGCAAACCACACCAGAGCACCCACCAACCACCCATGTAAAGAGTTCCACAAAAACAGAAGGAATAGCACAGCATCAGGGGGAGCAACCCCGCCACTGACTGAACAAACCTGACTTTGTTAGTTTTGAGCAGACACAATAAGAGTCATGAAGTGCAAGAGATAGACATGACGGCAGAAACAACAGAAGGAAAGAAAAGACAAAGGACCTACCAGTGACACCCTGCAATTACCCACACACAGAAAAAGAAAAACGAGAAGAAGAAGAAGAAGAAGAAGAAGAAGAAGGAGAAGGAGAAGGAGAAGAAGAAGAAGGAGAAGAAGAAGAAGAAGATATAAATGAAAATGAAAGAGGATGAAAAGAAAGCAGCGAGAAGACGGAAGACAAAATGTGTTGTACATGACAAACAGGAAAATGTTCTCCAAACCAACTCACCAGCCACGCTCTCATCATCGTCCGTCTCTGAAGAGGCCTCAGAGTCAGCCTCAATCTAGAAAAGAAAAGTTTTAAAAAGTATAACGGCACTTGCAACACGTAAGTAAGTCATATAAGTATCAAAGATTGGAGCTGTTACAAGAGAGTTTTAGTTTTAGTAGAGGTTTTACGGCGTTCGCAACTGCATAAGGTCAGATGAGCGCCAGAAGATTAGAGGTGTTACAAGAGAGTAACAAACATAAAAAAGCACGCGCTCATATGACCTTATGCAGTTGCGAAGGCCGTAAAACCCAATACTAAACTAAACTAAAAATATAAAAAAGAAGAAGGGGAGATAAGGACAATAGATGTTTGACAGGAAAGAAGAAGCAAACCACACCAGAGCACCCGTCAACCACCCACTGTTACTAGAGAGTAACATACAAAGAAAAAAGGGGGGAGAGATAAGGACAAAAGATCGTGTTTGAAGGGAAAGAAGGAGCAAACCACATCAGAGCACCCGCCAACCACCCACAGAAAACCAGTGTTTACTAACCTGGGCGGTATCTTCTAGTTTAGTTATAGTAGAGGTTTTGCGGTGCTCGCAACTGCATAAGGTCATATGAGCGCCAGAAGATTAGAGGTGTTACAAGAGAGTAACAAACAAAAAAGAAGAAGGGGAGATAAAGACGATAGATGTTTGATAGGAAAGAAGAAGCAAATGACACCAAAGCACCCGCCAACCACCCACTGGTATTTTTTTGCCATGCTTGGAAACACATGGAGGTGGGCCGTATGAAAAATTTAGCAATAGCAGGCATTGGCTATAAATAGACTGACAAGCACTGAAGTAAAGAGAAACAGATTGACAAAATAACATTTATCAGGGATGCCACTCAACTTTTTTTTAAATAGCTGAAAATCCGCGCCACGGTCACGATGAAGCGAAACAAAACGGATCCCGGAAGCCCGGGGTGTGTTTTCCCGACTTGCTGAGATTAGTGCAAATCTTCCGGGTTTTTTTTCTCCCCGTTATTTGAACTTATGGCGAAGTCTTCGTTTTTCCGTTATTTGAACATTTGGCACAAGTTGTTATGTGTGTCGGGATTTTTTTTTTTCAACTACAGATTCTATCTCGATCTCAGTAACGGAATAGACGATCAGGATCAAAATACTGGAAATACAGAAAAAAAAGTGGAAAAGTGGCATCCCTGATTTATTCCATGGAGAGAAAAAAACAACAAACTGACTATAACATCAGAGGGAAAGAAAAGGAATGGGGCCTACCAGAGCCTCCAACTAAAAAAAAAAAGCTGGCAAAGAAAAGAAAATGGGAGAGAGAAATATTCATTAAATAGAAAATCTTATAAAAGAAAGAAAATAATTGAAAGGGACATTTCCATTGCTGGGTGCAAGACTCAAACAAACGCTGAATTAAAAAATGGCAATTGTCAGAGTGTCGTAGTTTAGATTTAGTAGAGGTTTTTCGGCGCTCGCAACTGCATAAGGTCATATGAGCGCCAGAAGATTAGAGGTGTTACAAGAGAGTAACAAACATAAAAAAGAA